TATATAGATATATTTTTTATTATGATATAACTAATCAGCGAGGGGACATCCCCTCTGCGTCTAATACGGAGACGATCGGAGAGAAAGAGAAAGAGATAGAAAAGTGGCCGTAGTCTAGTCGGTGAGCACTCACTATAACTACGGGCAAAGAAAACTCTACCGCATTGAGATTTGCACCAGCGAACGCAGACTAGGTAGTCGTGATCCTTATCTACTCGCCTACTCAAATGGCGAGTATGTGATAATATGTAAAAAATCTTTTTTTGATAGTATGGTCCATCGTTAGCTATTAGTTGTTCGACATTTGTGAGAGAGTATGATATCTTACCTGAAAGGACAAATGGTTTTTGTTGAAGGAAACTATTTTTTAAGTAGCGTTATAAGAATGTAGGCGCGGCTCAGATAGACAACAAATCATTGGTCGAAAAAGTCGTTAATAAGAGGATCGAGGACCTACAGTTGTGAACGGCTACTCCTCAAGACCGAAGCCGAGCGTCGTCATGTTGAAAAATCACCCTATAACGATTGTCTGCTCGCATTGCTCAAGTTATCGGCTTACTTTCATTACCTGGTGTTAGCATCATGGTGTCATCAACATATAATCGCCATAATTTTTTTAGGCTTCCAACTCTGTTAACTTACTGACTGAAGTTTTTCGCTCTCCCCACTCTATTGTAATCCCGTCAATTTGAAACAAACTCTAATGACATCGCTAATGGTAAAAATTAAAATAAATTTCACACTTTGCTGGAACGGGCATCGGGATTGGTGGCCTTGAGAACAACCATAAATTTTGAAAGAATAAACTTGAGTAGACTCAATCTGAAGTCTAAAAAATAGGTGTAATCCCAGATATTAATTAGTTCACGAACACGCCTCAGTTGCACTGTTTTCAAGTCTTCTTTGAAATTTTTCTAAAGCGAACGTAGACTTGATTTAAGCCATCGGAAATACTAGATATATGAAGACAATAGATATAATTTCCAAAAAGCCAGTGTCCGTGATGCCTGCGTATCTTATAATTATTTAAATATTAAGACATAAATTGCAATGGCCGTTGTCCGTTGTGCACAACTGACCCCACTTAGTGACTCAGTGAAGTTGAACATATAGTAACGATAACGATTTTTCAAATATTCTCGAAAATTGTGCTCGACATAGCTTAAGCAAAAAGAAAAACGTTTTGTAGTCTATAACATAAAAGTAAAGTAGAATTTTTATAAAGTTACTTAACGTAGCCACCAAATCAAGCACCATAGCAACCAAACGCCGTAACACACGTAAGGGATGTACATACGGAGGACATAAAAACAAATGCTTGGAAACGCAAACATACAATCATTTTTAACTAATACTTAATCCATAGATGGAAAAATTATACAATTATGAGTAGACGACATCCGCATACGAATGCCTGACGAATCCATATAACACTGTATAGACCATTGCAGGAATAGCTCTTTCTCATGCGAGAAGCGCAGGCGTTTTGAGTGTATAAAATTTTTATTTTCCTTTCATATTTGTTTGATTTTTTCCTTTTCCTATTTCTTGTTTTTTTGTTTTGTTGTTGTTTAATTTCTGATATGTTCTATCGTTCCTGCGACTCAATTTGTTGGGAAAGTTGTTTAAGTTGACTGAAATTTATGGTATGGGCATTAAAGCAGAGTAAAGCTCGTTTTTACATAAAAACACATCGCATACACATATACAGACTTTTATACGAGCAATTTAATATCGCTTCCAATTTGCGGTTTATATGGTTCGCAAAGTGTTGTTTTCCGTGTGTCAGACTTTTCTTTTGTCAGCCGAGCAGCGCCTGGATTGTTCCTCATATAAAGATAAACTTTACATACACATATAAAACGTTTGCAGTCGTTAATTTTGAGAGCAGTATTAACAAGTAAGAAAAACGTGGGTGAGCAATGAAAAAAAGAGAATCTTCTAGCGAGCTTCACTGGTCTTAAATAAGAAAAAAAGAAAAAATGGAGAACAAGTTTTTCATACATTTTTTTAATGCTGCTTGCTGCGTTTTGTATAGCGATAAAAGACTGACAGGAATTCTAAAGTTAGCTAAAGTGGTTTTATTGTGTAAACGGCGTCTACTGCACTTAATGAACTACAACAAAAGTAGAAAAATAGATTTAAAAAAAAAAAAAAAAAAAAATTTTATATACATATATAAATATATATATATATATATATATATGAATGTATGTATAAATATGTATGCGTGTGTATGTGGCAGTTTCTCTTTTGAACCTTCCTCTTAGGTTAGGAAAAGTTTCTGTTATCCATTTACTCCGACAATAATAATAATAACGACGATGATTATTATGATGATGATGATGATCCTTGCTAGCGATGAAAATGATTATAATGCACAAAGCAGCTCGCCAGCAATTTTTTCTTTTCTTCTTTTCCCCGCTTATGTTTTCTTGTCGCTCATGTGATTCTCGATAATGATACCAAATAATAATAATAATAATAATAATAATAATAA